TGCCAGCAACAGACACACTTAACAGCTGCAGTATGGCAGGAAGGAGAATATAGCTACAGTAAATATTGGTATACTAGTAAAAACACAAGCTGATTTATTCCTCAATAAACCCTTTGTTGTATACAGCGCTTCTACAGAAGGATTAAAATCATGGAAATATCACATAAAGAAAGTCTTCAACTCTGAAGTAACAAACTGAAGATGAATGTCAGATTTGCATCAAGTTTGAAAGCTCTTTAACAGCCACTCAAAAAGGCAAAATAATCATTAAAAAGTATGTGACTTTATATATAAAGTCACTAAAATAGCTTAGTGGCCTCACAGCTCACCAGATTGAAACATCAAAACAACTCTTAGGGATATTCTGAAGGGAAGAAATGTTCTTCGGCCTTCAAAGAAATGCAAGTTTCCTCTTCCTCTTTGATGATGTTTGTAGTACAAACAGGAGAAATGAACAGGCAGTGCAAAGAGGACTAAACGTGTCTCTATTCCTTCACAGAATCCATTTTGTCAATCAAAACTGCAGTATTTTTTTTTTGGGTGTACTGCAGGCCAAGTGTCCTCTCTTTAATATCCTGTATTCTCCACAGAGGAGATTAAGGCAGCCGATCAACCATTGAGGCTCAGATCACAATAAACTGAAAGCTAATTAAATTGGGTTGTCATCACCAGGAAAGCTCTGAGGGACTGTACACTACTGCAAATTGCTATCATATACCCAGAACTTGTCAAGTGAATTCCTCCTTGTATCATTAAGAAGAGTAATACCTTCATCCATCCCACCACAGGTTTTACTTCTTTTTAGCTGGGCTCCCTTTAATGTTTCTCTTAATTTTTTACTGTGTCATTAAGGCCCGAAAAGCACATTATAAGCCCATTTCTATACTTTTATGTTTGTTACAGTGCACTAATAACTCACTGCATCTTCTTTTAATACATCTCTCAAAGGAAAATAGCTACATTTAAAAGGTCATCATCGGCTAACGTTATTTACAGATTTTAGCCCCTGAAGCAGACTTCAGGTGAAACCAAAATGATAACTCATTAAGGCTAGACAGTGTTTTTTTCTGTCCGTTTCCAGCTGCAACACAAAAGCAAGATATGGCCAAAGTATGTTATCATCCTTAACCACATACAGAGGTGAACTCAGATACTCTACTTAAGTAAAAGTATCAATCAATCAATCAATCAATCAATGTTTATTTATATAGCCCAATATCACAAATGTTACATTTGTCTCAGTGGACTTCACAGTTTGTACAGAATATCAGTATGACAATACGACACCCTCTGTCCTTAGACCCTCAAATCGTACAAGGAAAAACTTCCAGAGAAAACCCACAGTTTAAAGGGAAAAATGGGAGAAACCTCAGGGAGAGCAACAGAGGAGGGATCCCTCTCCCAGGACGGACAGACGTGCAATAGATGCCGTGTGTAAATTGAAAAGATAATACATTTGCAACATAGGTAGTCCAAATGTTTGGAAATGCATGTGTGTATAATAGGAAGATGAATCCACGAGTATATCCATCCAGGACTTATGATCCAGGACCACAGCCACGGCTCAAGATCCAGGACTCGCAATCCATGACACAGGACCGCAGGATCATCCATGACTCCGGATCCCGGCGTATATAGACACCAAAAAGAAAGAAATTTGGGGAAGCTGGGTTAATCGGAACATGAGAGTACACAGGTATAGACAGAGAGAAGGAAGAAGTAAGATGTCCCCCGACAAACTAAGCCTATATCAGCAAAACTAGGGGCTGAATCTAATCAGCCCTAACTATAAGCTTTATCAAAAAGGAAGGTCTTAAGCGCACTCTTNTCCAGGTCGGATGCGTAAGACTGAAAATGAGGCTTTCAAAGGAGGTATAATTTAATTTTTGTTTAGTATTGATAAGTAAACTTGAGTCAAAGATTGCTGCAACTCCACCTCCTCGGCCCGTGCCTCGGGCAATATGAGTATTGATATGGCTGGGTGGAGTGGCCTCATTTATGCTGACATATTCTTCATGTCTCAACGAAGTTTCAGTGAGACAGCATATATCAATATTATAATCTGATATTAAATCATTTACCAGTATTGCTTTAGATGCTAGAGATCTTATGTTTAAGAGACCACATTTAATCTTCCTGTTTTGTTGCACTGTAGTAGTTGTTACATTTACTTTTATTAGGTTATTATGTATGACACCTCTATTAGGTTTTACCTTAAATTGTCCTTGGGCAGACACACACACCGTTAATATTGGGTATTTTATTGGGTTCGGGATTCCTATGGATGACTGCCTATAAATAATATGGTCTTAAATTCAAGTAAAGTATCAACAGTACTCATTATGCACAGGGCTCTTTTGAAAAAAAAATAAAAAATCCATGTACTGCTTAGAAGTAAGAGCCTTTTAATATTGCAGTTTGTCAAATATTTTTTCAAAAACTGGGAGGCTAAATATTTAATACTGCATCACATGTTTTTACATGTAAAAAGTAACTTTGCGGGCTAAATAAATAGTATGGAGTAAAAAGTAGACTTATATGTAGCAATAAATTGGACTTACTCAAGTAGAAGTATGACAAAATAGTACTCAAGTACATTGAGAAACAGTAGTAACTGTAATTCCCCAACTAACCACATTTGTTTGTTAAAATGTAGGTTAACCTCTAACTCCTAAACATAACCCAGTGGTTCTCAAACTTTTTCTGTCATTCCCCACTTTGAACAGATGGGCCTTTTCAAGCCCCACCTGTTCCTCATCGCTCCAATAAAATGGTAGGCCAAGCTTAAAATTATCAAATGTATCGTTCTATAACCAACCCGGTATCACGGCAAGACGTGAACATAGGTGTGGATGTGGAATTAACGGGCGTGACGTTGTGCGATTGAGTTGCCAGGCAACAGCTTCGGTTCATGTTAATTTACAAACTCTTCAACTACAACCGTAGTTATGTTTAAAAACATGTTAGGTCTCGCGAAATACTTTAATGCAAATTAAAATGTAAATGTGAAGGAATATGTGTATGACAAAATACATCGGTGATAAACAAAACATGGGTTAACAATACCGTGTAACTAACTGTCACGTTTGAGGGGACGAAAATCGTGACATCTTCACTTCTCCCAGCATGGTAAATCGTCACATGTTCACGTCTTGCCGTGATATCGGGTTGTCTATAACAGGGGTTTCCAACCTTTTTTAGGATGAGAGCTACTTTAAAAAAATAAAACAAGTCGTGAGCTACTTTTACTCCTCTTTTATGTAGTGTATATATTTAGCACATTTTAACATTATTATGCTTACCTTTAACCTTTGTGTGCTCTTTGGGTCTGTGGGACACGTTTTCAGTGTTTACTAAAAGAAAATGTATTTCATTTAATTATTTTAACCTGCTTTATTTGGGGGTGGACCTCACATCCTCTAGTCTAGGGGGGTCCGAGGGCATGCATTTTTTTTAAATGCACATCTCTGCGCCCCACACTTTGAGAAACGTTGCCATAACCTGACCTAACAGAACTGCTACAGGAAACACCATTTAAGAGGAAGGGAAACACTTCAAAAAGGAGAAACTACCTTCAACTAGGCCCCATGGACGTTTGATACTGGTTTACTTTCAAATTGAAAAATGAATGAGAAACATCTAAACTGCAAGCTTAGCAGTCCAGGACCAACAACCATCAGAGACAAAGCTAACAAATAGTTAGCAAACACGGTTTAGCATTTGGGATATTGTAGCTAAAATGACCACATTGTTTATTCTTCTCAGCATTAACATTAGTAGTTAGAAACCAATACGAGTGAATCAACTTACCTAGAGTCCACTTGCATTCGACAGGTGGCAAAAAACTAAACTCAATATGCTTTTGATGTGTCTTCAGATAGCTGTGGTTGCTAACAAGTTCACCATAATTAGCACACAAGTCAAAAGTTGTGTTTACAGCTCGCTTCTGCTGCAGGTTTAAGAGAATATGGCGTTTGTTGGGGCTTAGAATACTTAGGACAATATATTGTACTGTCAACATTGTAGCAAGGCCCCTTCTCCCATTAACATGAAACCCCCTGAAGTGAAAGCAGGACATCAGTAGACCTCACTAATGCTTATGAGCCCAGGTTCCATTTTTTTTTGGAAATAAGTACTTTTCAAATGGTTTTAGATAAAATGTATGTAATAGGTTACATGTTTTTTGTCTATGTTTTTTGCTTACAGTTAACCTGCAGAACCCACACAGCTTTGTCCGTGGACTCGCTGGTTTGCCCCCCCATCGTAGGCCTACAGCTGCACCGTTATCACTTCATGTGGGGGGGCCACTGCAGGTGAAGCCTTCGCTGCAGTGTGAGTCTTCCCCGTGGACATATTAGTCAATTCTGTTAACACACTCTGCTGTGCTGGGCTACAGATTAGTTTTTAATTACATTTGAAGGTGCAGAGTGTCTCCAAGCCCAACACAATATCACCTGCAACAACCTTTTCCTCAGGGAGAAGAAAGCAGAGAGAGTCTGTGAGTAATATACGATATACCCGTAAATTAAACCTGTATAAATTAAACCAGTGACCCCAGACTGACTCACAAGCATGCTAACACTCTAAAATAGCCTCCATGTTTGTCACAAAGTGGATCCTATCAATATGTGATGTTGTTTAATGAGATTTGCATAAAAAAATTGCAGAAGTGTCAAATAAACTGGCAATTAGAGAAAAGTTAATATACAAACTGTCAAAACAGTGTTGATGAATTCCTCGCATTGTTGCATCGATAAAGAAAATGATTCAATTAAAATGAGTCTTTACACAAGTTTCAGTGTACTTTTTCTGCTTGATAGATTCAAGTGTTTTCTGTAGTGCTAATGTATTCATTCACTCATCACTCATTGATTTATTCTCTTTGCAGTTGTTATACCATGGCATGATTCAGGTCAGCTTATAACAGTAGGGCACAGCAGAGCTTGAAATCCAGAACATGATCACTCGAACACACACGTCTGGAGTTCAAAGGACTCAGCATTTCTGCAGTTTCACAGTTGATTTGTCTTTTTAAAAAGGGTATTAGACGCAGTCAGGAATTCTACACAAACAGCAGTTAAGACAGGGATTCTGAGTTGTAATGGCAGCAGAGCTCAGAGAACCGAATAAATGAAAATTTGATTGAAAAGATTTTCCGTCAGAGTGGGATGGAGAAATAGATAGAGTGCCCCTACACACTCGGTGTCTTAGGATATAAAATAATTGAGTTTGAGAAAGCAGAATAGATTATTACTTAGCTAAAAGAAAACCACCATCACTTCTTGGCTTTTTGCCTAAACACAGTGTGGGTAAAAACTACAGCTGGGCTCCAGAGTCCCGGTCCAGAGTTTCAACCTTCTTTCACCTCCACATATTAAGTGTCTGCATCACTAATAAGTCTCTGAACGTGGCGAAGCCCAGCCATCTGTCTGTCTCACAGTCCGAGCAGAGTTTATTCCAGTATCTTGTGGTAGGGGAAGAGAGGCAGACCTGCGGTGAAAGCAGGGATGTCCATGATGGCAGCCGTACCCGCCATCTTGGGCGAGGGAGGAAGGAAGGTGACCTTCGACACCTCGCCGTACGTAGAGCCACTCACATCATCCTCTTTGTCCTTCTTTCCCTCTTGTTTCTTACAACCACCATCCGAATCGTTCTCTTCAGCACCAAATCCCACCACCTTTAGGAGACAGGGACACATTTAATGTTTTGTGACATTACGCCAAAAATAGAATCAAAATCACATCTCTCTCTCTCCTCATACAAATCAAAGGTTTTGCTTACATGCACGCTGAGCTTGCGGCTAGTTTCCCCTCGATGTTCTTTGAACCAGGACGCCAGCTCCACCCTGGTCATCTGCTTCAGAGCTTCGATCTAAACACACAGAAACACCAGTGGATCAAACACTTGGACTGAATGACAAGTGCCTTTCATTTAAAAAGGTAAAAACGCCAACATTAAATCAACAGTGAATAAAGTGATCGTGCCAGGAGACCTTCATAGTGATGACTCTTCACCCCCACATTTCAGTCTCTTTATCTTGTTATAAATGAAGATTAGAATAGACAAACTAAAGGACGAACGCCTTCAAACAAATAATATAAAAAACTATGGAAAACCGCGATAATTTGTATAAAATAATAATTCGATCAAAAACATTTGTAAAATTAGTAAAATTACAGGTACTTTGTTTACTTCGGCAAGATTAGGGACTAAAACAATTATTCCCAACTTTTTATCTTGTCTTTATAGAAAATCTGATTATCCTGCTTTGAGCATCAGTTCTCTGAGTGTGTGTGTGTGTGTGTGTGTGTGTTTGTGTTGTTCTCACCTCTCTGTTGAGCCTATCAAAGACAAACTGCTGTGTAACCACCTCGGCCCAGTTCCTGTCCACCTCCTCCCCGAGGTGTGTGTCCTCACACTCCTTCAGCTTCACTAAAGCGGTCACCTGTACAAAAAACATGCCACACACACAATATTACAGTTTGTACTTACTTTTTTGACTTCCACAATTATTTGAACATTTAAAGTACAACAGCAAGTACAAGTTGGTCTAACATTTTAAAGAAATGTGTTATTACATCACCAAGGTAACTTGTAAATACACTTTTGTCATTTCTCAAACTTTTACTATGATTTTCTCTACCTTTCTGCTTCTGCATGATAAAAATGAGCAACAAACTCATGAATACACACACACACACACACCTGCGTTTTAAAGGCCTCCTCAGTCAGCGCATCGAGCAACTCCCCAAATGAAACCAGAAACTCTTCAATCTTTGACTCCACCAGCTCCGTACTGAGAAAAAGAGTTCACGAGAGGTAAGAGATATATATAATACACTATAGGGTGCGTTTGATTCCTTTAGTCGTTCATCAGATCCACCGCTGCTCTCCTTCCAGGACCAGAGAGATGGATTGTAGCTTGGGTTTGGGCGAACAGTAAGATAAATTATACCTTGGTTTTGGGAAATGCGGTTAAGATAAATCTTATCTTGCCTTCGGGCAAATGAAAGGTTATGATTGTGTTGCAGACTCACTTGAACTTTGTGGCTTGTGTTTCCACGGTGACAGAGAAACCCAGAACACCTGAGGTGTTCCTGCAGGTCGGGTAGACATGGTACCTGCAGAGGGAGGCATCAAAGGAGACGGAAACAAATAAAAAGGTGTTGAGAAACACGAAAACGGAACAGAGACGGATCAAAAATAACTAACCAGGCAGTTCAGTTGAATTAGTTTCCAAAAGATAAGTCCCACCTGACTTCCTCTAGCAGGTAGTCGACATTTAAACCATTAGAAGATGTCGTTTGAAATGTGGTAAATGTAAATAGATTTACATCAGCTAAGAACCGCCTTCAACAATTTTTCTCGGAACCTTCATAATAATTATAATTTTGTATTAATAAATAAACGTCCCTTATAAAGACAAAGACATTCAGCCACAAAATAACTAAAATGTCTTCAATTTGCAAAAATAAATAAATAGCACTTTTAAAAGAATTGATAAAACCATGAAATGGATCAAAACAAGTTATGAGAATTACAATTGCTGTCCACGTTTTGTATTCTTGCCTTGAACAAAATATGCAAAATGAATGATTAAGCTCAATGTGTTTCACAAAAAACAAAACACATAAAAAGACAGATATGAAAAGTAAAACGATATAATTATTATTTTAAAAGACACAAATAAAAGCAAATGTAAACATGAACCAAATGAACAGTTGAAACTATTGACAGTAAAACATTGTCATGGTTTCTTAAAAGTTATAAATAATATTTAAAATAAATTATAAACATATAATTACAGTTCTTAAAAAGAGGCAAAGCTTTGTTTAAAACATAACCACCCTCACCCGAGAGTCTCTTTGGTCCTGAGGAAGTCAAAGCAGGGCTCCTCCATGTGCATCTGAAAGAGAACAACAACTCAGAGAAGCTCGGAGGAACGACGGTGAAAGAACACATGGATGTAGAAAAGTACACGCACCACCAGCAGCTCCATCAGCGTGTGCTCCCTCAGGTGCTTGAGGCCAGACTAGATCAAAAGAATAAATAAACAAGTGTGAGTCAAACAAATGAGAGCATGTTGAAGACAGTGAAAGATATGAAGGATCGTTGAGCGGCAGGTGTGTGTGTGTGTGTACCTGGTAGTAAACGGTGATCTCAGAGTTGGCGTCTCCCTTATTGAGAGATTTGACCTTACAGATGTGCTGCTTCATGGGGAGCTCCACCACTCTGAACATCACCGGCACCTCCGCTGGCAGCTTGGAGAACTGCAGCTTACTGACAGGGAAAATAAAAAAAGGCGAACAAAGGGGAGCGAGGAAGAGAGAAAGAAAGAAAGGAGGTGAGGTGGAGAGGAAGAAAGGAAGGAGGACAGACGTTTGAAGGAAGGGAACGGAGGATAAAGTTTAGAGGGGATTCATAGAGTGAACAACCGAAGCTAATGAAAATGACTGTGTATGGCGGCAAACAAATCCATGTGATTGTATAGTATTGGTGTTTTCATTAGGGAGTGCTTTCAGTGTAATAGCCGCCTTACTCTGTGACATACTGCAGGAACTGCTCCGACTCCTGTGGAGAAAACACAATAAAGGATAATGAGCAGGTGAGAGATAAGAGGTGAAGGAATCAGACAAAGCATGAGAACAACGTCGAGCACACTCGCAAACAATGGATGCACGTACAGAGATGGATATTAACCAATTTGTTAGCTAATCAGCGTATTGTTGTTGTTAATCAATCTACTTGTGTGTGCCATCCACTCACAGTGCTGTTAAAGTTGCCCTGCACCAGTCCCTCGGCGTACAGCTCCGATTTTAAACTACGGCTGAACTCCATCAGCTCTTCGATGGTGAGACCGGCTGTTAGAGCCTGATACTTCTCCACCATGGACCAGCGAGAGTTTTCTAAGATTAGCAAACGCACATCTCTGAGGAAGACGAGAGGGGGAGGAGTGAGGGAGAGAGAGAGAGAGAGAGAGAGAGAGAGGGGAAAAGAGGACACAGGCAGGAGCTTTTTACCATTCAGGTCCGTCACACGACTCACCACTAGAAGGCATCATAGACTTGAAATTGAGTCCTAAGGTAAACTTGAAATGTCAGTAGACAGAAGGTAAACAACTCACTTGCCGAGCTTCTCCGGTTTAATGAGGATGTTGAAGTAGGCTTTCTTGAGCTGCTCCATGTACATGCTGAAGACATCGGGGGCGGCGCAGAAATCAGCCAGGTGGTCAATGATCAGGTGGAACAGCAGCTGAAGACAGAACAAATGAAGAATCAGCATCTTCACCATAGTGCATGACAACGATACAAACACCTCTGTGTGCAAGCGGGCTAACTGTTGCTGAAAAGTGGATTTAGAGTAAAGGAGCAAGAGTAGCTGGAAATACATCTTTGGGAAGAATAGTTCAAGTTTTTGAAAATACATTTATTTGGTTTCCGGCCAGGATTTAAAAGAAAGATGAATTGATATTCGTTTTATGTTTGAGAAAATAATCAATCTTCTCATTCAACTTACCCCAAAAAAAGGTAAACCTTTCCTTTAATGTTTTATGGATACCCATAAAGCCAATAAACTACCAACTAATGTCTGTCAGCGTGTAACACATATCAGAGCGAGAATATCCTACATGCACAATTGTATTAATTAAAAAAGGCAAATGATGACTATGTCTGTTAAGATGATCTAAAAGCCACTTTTAGAGACACTTGAATTATGCTTTATAACAAAGATGCATATAATAGCTAATTTACCCACCTTCAATAAGTTATAAACATGCAGCCAACAAGTACACGGCAAGAAAAGTCGTTCATATGGAGCATATGGCAAAATAAGATTTTTTATTATACATATGGACTAGTAGTCTGGATCTAGTAAACACAAAGGATATATAATACTATCAAATAGTATATCTACTGCACAATTTAAAACTTCAAAATACAGTACACTGCCAGAAAGACAGTTTCAGTGTTTGGTTGTATTCATATGACGGTATTTCAATCTCTGTGTGTGTGTGTGTGTGTGTGTGTGTGTGTGTGTGTGTGTGTGTGTGTGTGTGTGTGTGTGTGTGTGTGTGTGTGTGTGTGTGTGTGTAAATGCCTTTGCTGTGGTCCGAGTGTCTGCAGCATCTTCAGGTACTGGAACACCAGGTGAGTCACCTGTTACACACATAAATAAGAATATCGTTTAGTTTAAATTAATTATTTTGTTTGTAAAAATGGCTGTAAAATTCCTCTTTTTCACCATGATAATGGAGCTTAAGAGACACGTATTGTTACATTTTGAAAAACCACAAAGATAACACCGATAGTTGCCAAACTTGTTGTAAGACTTTTTGATTACAGTCATTAGAATAAGCTAGGACAATTACACTGAACAAGGTGTCCACATATAATACTAAATAGGAAGTAATGTGTCTATTTGCCCCCTTTTAGAGATTCCAACATGTAAATGAGAATGCCACCTCTACCTTTGTGAATAAAGAGTCATTATTATTAACTGTGAACAACAGTTCCCTGTTTGTCAGCAGAGAATAGAGGAAGAGACGCATGTCAAAATAATTGCAATGGATGAGTGGATGTCACCGAGTAAAGACAACTGTAATTATAGAGACATGTGAGTGGTATCAATCTTTTCATACAACTCCTGGCAATTAAGTGAATCAGGGCTACTTCTTTAAAGTGCTTTAGAAAAAAAGGAAACAGCATCCTCAAGGCTTAAGCAGCGTGTATTCCGCAGTCATCAATGCGAGTGTGTTTATTTTATTTTTTATCAGACAACCTTGCTCCTATTGGATGAGAGGTGACTGCCTGTTTAACACATGCATTGTCATAGCAACTGATAACACAGATGGCTCCCCTTAGAATACCTGTTGTATAAATGAAGAACAGAACAACCAGCTGGGTCCATTCGTGCATGCAACTTATACTGAGACCAGTGTCTGTTGAACTGATGAAGAACTGGCTCACTTTGATCTGACCACAAATGGTTTGGATCATGCAATATCAGAATCGTCCTGCAACTGGAACATTTACGTTTTCACAAACGGAAGTAAAGTGCAGATAAAGTCAAGAGAATAGACCTGCATACTAAAAAATAACAAAGTAAGCCTATTTTAGTAGTAGCAGCAGCAGCAGTAGTATGTATTTATATATGTTTTAAAGTGTCCATATACAATTATAGAAGTAGCTGGTTCCGTTAAAGCTTAAATTGCTTGAGGGTATATTTCACAAAGTTTTCTATTCACAGGCAGTATTATTGCACAGTCTGCGGCCGTTTCTCACTCTCGAGGATACTGGCTTCCAAGCCAATATTTTAAGGATGCTACGTCATCGAGTGCCGCCGAATGACTGTTCCAATCTCCAGCATACTTGGAATTCCACCGAGGCCGCATCCTTGGTTTGGGGGTAATTTCGAGGCTGCACATGGGTAGACTTCGCGTCCTTAAAATCCCCGCAATGCTTTGCGCACGGACCAATTTCCCCAAATCTGTTGCGGAAAATGTAAGGCGGGGCCTCTCATATGACGCACACCTGCACACTTGCTCGCCTGTTCCACTCTTCGTTTTCCAATTGCCAGGAAGGATTCTTGCCTAGCTTCTGAAGCAAGTGACTCGGAAGACATGTGCTACCACGCAAGCATCCTCGCGATTGAGAAACGGCCTATGTGTGTGTGGTGGTCTACGAGGGGCCGTGGTGGGGATATTGGCTGAAGATTAATGTGTAAACTGTTAGCTGTTCAGTGTCAAAGTGTTTCCATGTCTCCAAAGGGCAAACAAATCATAAAAAAGCGATCTTTCTTTACCTCGTAGAAGTTTTGGAAACCCTCATCAGTGAGAGTGATGGAGATGGAGAAGATGGAGTAGGTGGTGTTCTGGTCGAAGCCTGTTTCACTGTTTCCTCCATATAAATCCAGAGCCCAGCACCTACAGACACACAGCATTTAATTACAGAAACACGTGTTTACTGCCAGTAAATAAGTTATTGACTACCATAAACTGGAAAGAGAATGCACATTAGGAGTTGAAATATGTGCAGGAGGCCAGTAAGTAGAAAATATGGCACTTGATGTTTCTCGATGGCAGACAATTTAACAAACACTTTTGTGATCCCACTGAGGCACTCCGCGTGGCTTTACAAATCCCAGAATGAAGAACGGACACATCATTCGTTTATGGGTTTGTGTTATTTAAAAAAAAGGATGAGAAACAACGTGCAGGGGTTTGAGATGTTTTAGAGCTGGGTTGTTCGTCACATCATGTCTGCTCCCATCTGCATAAAGACATGTTGTAGTGGTTTGATGGTGCACTTTAACAGCTGCACTGCATTACCAAACAAGCAGAAAAGATGTGGACTGCAATGGATCAAACCAAGCCAGTTCTGATCTCTGAAAGTTTCACACTGACTGCACTGAAATGAACTCAAACCAGTGCTGTGTAGTAAACAATTATATTATATAAATTCACCCCATCCTGCAGAAACACTGGTATCGGCCTTCAATCTATGAAGAAAATCTTTGTGTACAAAATCTTTTCAGCAAATATTTCTTTATGTTTATTGTGAAAATATTTTAAGGTTGTTCATTGATGCTTTCACGTGATTTAAACAATGAGATTTCAAAAAATAATCATCAGTAATGTTGATTTAATGACCAAGCGGGTAGAGTAATTAAATAGCTAGAAAAAATAATTCTGAAAATGTGATCACTTTACCGTAACGCAACCTTCAAAACCAGGTAAAGACAACATTTATGGTATTACACTTTCCACTTGATCTACTCCATGAATACAATAAAATAATCATATACAGTATACTACTACTTTTAGGCATCTGTTCAGTAGTGCAGCAAATAGTGTGTGTAATGGACATATACTGCACAAGGGCAGACCTTTCCCCAAAACGTTACTGCAGGGTACAACAATGGCCCAGTTTCAGTCCAGCCTCTCTGCCCTCGGCGTTATGATTATCTGAACTCAATAAAACCAGCGTCTCTACTGCCTCCGCAGTTTGGCGCGCCTGGGAATTCACAACGAGTACACTCAAGTTTCAATGTTGTCATTTATCAACAATTGCAATGAGCACACACGGTAAATAGGAATATTCCATCAAACTCTCCAAGTGGTGCCGATGGTGAAGGCAGCGTTGGGTGAGATCGTTGTGTTGTGGGACTACAGAGGGGTTCGTCGCATCACTTTCCCACTTAGCAGCAAAAGGCTGAAATGCTCTCGTGGTACATCCACATCCAGAGAGGAGGATGTATGAATCGCATTGTGGAGTGGGCTGGCAGAGTGTATACTTTGAAGATTGGGCTCGAGCACTCAGAGCTCAGAAAAGCCAGTGTCATGTATACCCGGCAAATTGAAGACCTTTTAATTGGGTTTTTGGAGTGCCCTCAAATCAGCAAAACAAACAGACAGAGGCAAAAACACTCACTTCTTCCTGAGCACTGAGAGGATGCTTCCTGTGCCTTCATGGCCAATCAGCCAAGAGATGTAGTGGAGAGGCTTCACTCTGAAAAGAGGGGGGAAGAACAACATGAAAAGGAGAAACAAAAAACACATTGATTCACTCCTTCTACAAACAGAGCAGAGTATGGCTGGTCTAATTCTGATTATACAGTATGAAGAGGCTGCACTCTGGAGACAGAAGACATTGAAAGGAAAGAGAAACAAACCGTTGATGAAATGTAAGGTAGGTTTCATTTACGTGGCATGCACTGTATATTATAAATGTACAGTATGTGGCTCACCTGTAGTATTTCTCCTGAGGGGGGAGCGCCCAGGTGATATTCAAAGCATGGACTTTCCTGACTGGGACGACTGCAAACAAACAGATAACAGCATGATTTAAGGATAACTTCACTTCTGCTTACTATATATTACTGCTCGGTTGTGTTTCCTCAACATTTGAGCCTTGTAAACAAGTAAAACTAAATCTGCAGCATTTAATTAGTTTGCAAGTGTTCACACATTCAACCAAAGAAATGATCATTTCCAGATTGCTCCTTTTAAAAAAGGGTTTTTAGAGGTCAAATTCCTTCGTCTATATTAATTTTCCACATAGATAGGCGGACAACAAAAACAAACATGACAGCACGGCTAGAGGTCAAATTCTCAATTATTTCAAAGAAAAAAGGCACAAGAACCGAGACAAGTCTGAGATAAGAATAGATAGAAAACAGGATTGCTCAGTACCTCTGTAGAGCTTGTTGAAGGCTGCTGTGCCGAAAGGATCAGGCATGTCAGAGAAATCTGGCTTGGACAAAGCACTGTAAACACAAAAGAAGAATTATTATTATAGGAAGCAGAAACAGTAAATTACACAATTCAACAACACCAATATGTCACTTAATACGTCTTAACGCACCATAATGCTTTTTCATGACACTAAAAATCGAATTTCTTGTATTTTTTTTAAAACCAGCAGAGAGCACTTTGGTAATTACACCAATTATTTTTATAGATAAGAGGAAGAGATAATTTAAAACGTTTAGTTTAAAACTGTTCGCAATTAACACTTACATAAAAAGCACCTTGCTTCTGCTCCTGAGTGTTAACTTCTCGTTTGTTTTGAGCGTGATAAATTGCATTCATTTAAAAAGAGTTATTGCTTAAATATATAGCATAGATAAGAGAAATGTTATCAACCCAAACAGGTGAAACGGTTTCGCAGCACCGTGATATGCATGGGAATTCTCTGAAAAAGATAACCTGCCACAGACAGTGACTCATAAAGCGCACAGAAGTGGATTTCTCTGAGAAAAACGAAATTATTAAACTCTAGGGAGAAATTATACCCTTCAGGTGTATGATGCTAGGGGGGGGGGGGAA